CAGACAACCCCGTAACAATATGCGTTTTGTACTGCTGTTACACAGCACAAAACGCATAAAAAGAAGGTAAGGGTGAGATAAGACGTTTCGGTCCATTAAGTTATATATGTCTTAAGTAAAAGACCCTACGGGCCGTTTGGGCCTTGTGGATGGATGGAATTTGGAAATGTAGGGACTGAACCGGTACTGGGTGGCATAACTAGGGCGTGCATAAGACGACGTATTATTACTACTAAGGCTAATTTCCGCGTGCCTCCGTCTCTCACTGAAAGCAAATGTGGAAAGCCACTAGACTTTTGGCCGGAGATTTGTTCTGTGTTGCGATAATAACTATTGTCATAAAGCTCAGAAACTGTACGATTTTCCAAATTTTGATGCATAAGTTTTCAAACCCTAAGTACTTACTTGCGTTTTTGTAAAAACTTTGCAGTTGGTTAGTAAGAAAAAGACCCCACGGGCCGTTTGGACCTGTGGACGGGTGGAATTTGGAAATGTAGGTGCTGAACCGGTACTGGGTAGCTCTAACTGGGACGTGCATAAGACGACGTAGATCCTAAACCCGGTGAATTTTATTGAATTGGAACTCAACACCGCAGCTGGGCTTCGTCAGTATGACGGTCGCAGTGCTTAATGAGGAAAAGAAAAGAGAAAGACGAAAAGAAGAAACAGGGAGGGAAACAATAAATTTTTCTCTGTTTTTTTCAGTTAATGTTGGCGAGGACTGTCCGGTTTTTGATGGTTTATTCGAATTTTGTCAGCTTTCGTGTGGCGGATCATTGGGTACGTTATTTTAAAATCACTTCATCAGTTTATCTTGTACTTGTTATGAGAAAAGATTTTAACTAAAATAGGAAAAAGGTCTTTCAGCTATCTTTTTTTGGGAATCCTGCGTATCAGCTGGTGATACTTAGAAGAAGGATGATGGCCCCTCAAACGACTTCCGAAAAAATGAAGTTTGGAGCGGTAAAAAAAGCTAGGGACAGTTCGCTCTCTGCCAGACCTTCCTTGGGCACTTTTTTTTTCACCGGGTATTTTTACGTTTCCTATTTTTGCAGCAGCTGCCGTAAAACTGAATAAGCGAAAAGCAGATATAGCAATAAACTGGATGGGTGGGCTGCATCATGCGAAGAAGAGCGAGGCAAGTGGATTCTGCTACACAAACGATATTGTTCTTGGGATTCTTGAGCTCCTCAAGTATCACAAAAGGTTCTACTTTTTCCAAATTTTATAATTTTCACAAATGTAGCTGCAGTTCAACAGCGGAATCGCGGCCCTCGGATGTAGCTTTTTCCGCAAATTTGTAATACATTTTAGATTTGTTTTTATTTTCCCGCATGGCTTTTTATAGATTTTTCGGATGGGTAACTGGAAGAGTCAAGTTTTTTTTTTTCATTATACTTTTTGTGGTTCAATCCTCCAAGTGATTTGTAGGGCACATTCATTTTCTGGAGGACAAGTATTGCTAGAATTTGTACATAAAACCGTGGATTCTTTTCAGTATGTAGAACAAAAACTATGGTATTCTTCGAGGAGGTTGCCGCTGATTTCTAATTTTTTTTTTTTAGCGATATAGGTGTTTGTTCTTGCTTATGTCATTTGCTTTTTTTTACAGCGAATTCATGCATTAGGAGCATTTTAATTGCCCTGAAAAATAAATTTCACAGGGGACATCCCTACAAAGTTTCAGCCCCTTAACAAGTCTGGTTCTCGAGATCGCTTTCCCGCGAAAAAATTTGCATATTTTTTAAAGCATCCATAAACGGCACCCAGGCGTCCATTGGGTTGGGACCTACTACGCGGATTTACCAGTAGGGGAACTGACCGCTCTGTAACTTACTCGTTTCTTTCGATGGAAAATTTTGTACTGATTTTTCTACACCAGGAAATCAACATAACCTTTTGCTTGCTTTCAAAGAAATTTTGGAAGAAACAGACTTGCTAGTGTTTGTGTGTTTGTGTGCATGTGTGCGTGTGCGTGCATGTGGGTGTGCGTGGGTGTGGGTGTATGTGCGTATGGATATATGTGCGTGTGGGTGTGTGCGGGTGTGTGTG